TCAGTTCCATTGTTTCATTTACTAAATTTTTTTAAATCAAATTATTTCCATAATTTCACTTCATGAGTCAAGTTGAAAAAAATATATAAATATATTAAATTAAAAATTAAATTAAAATGATTAAAAGTCAAAGATGTCATAAAACCAACCTGGTCGTCAGGGCTGTTTCTGTCTGAGTCTGAAACACAAGACAAACTGGGTCACACTCTGTGTGTGTGTGTGTGTGTGTGTGTTTCATCTGGAATTCCTGACATGATAATGTCAGATTTTAATCTGAGAAACATTAATTTATGATTTTCAAGAAAACACTGATAACATAAATGGACACCGTGTGTGTGTTTCCACGTGTGTGTGTGTCCACGTGTGTGTGTGTCCACGTGTGTGTGTGTGCATATCTCATAATTGCACAGCTGATAATGTCACACACACTATATGATAAAATCAGACGCTGTTTATTTTTAAGCTTCTTTCAAAGATAATTCAACATTAGTAAACTCCACTGACGTAGCTGTGTGTGTGTGTGTCACCGTGTGTGTGTGTGTGTGGTACCTGAACTGTCTCCAGTATAATCAGCCCCAGGCTTCTCCTCCTCTGCAGCTTTGGACATCCTGATATCTGCAGAAAAAAAAACACAAACACAGAGATACACATTAGAGAGTGGGTCAGAAACACACACACACACACACACACACACACAGACGCGGGTTTAAACAGGACTAATTGTGTGTGTGTGTGTGTCGCCTGGAGACAAAGTTGTTTTGGCCCGACTTTTACAAACACTGACAGAACTTTGAGAACTAAAGTGATGACTCGGTGCTGTGGACTGTGTCCTGGTGTAAAGGTCGTGACCCCTGGAGGCTGCAGCTTTAATCCAGCCTCACAGTCACTCCCACACGTTCCTGTTTGCATGGACTTCTGGGATTGAAGGTGCAATTACAGCAGGAAGAAGGACTGCAAAAGGAAGTGCTTAGCTGAGCAGCAGACATTAGTCAGCAGCAGCAGCAGCAGCAGCAGCAGCAGCAGCAGCAGCAGCAGCAGAGCTACTACAGATGCTGTTATTGAAATAAAATATTCACTAAAAATAAAAATGTTTTCCACAGTCAACAACCAATGAAATGTGTCTGACACAGAAAGAAAAATAACTTTTAATATTTTTTAACACATGAATTTACTGTGTTTTTTTCTTCTTCTAATTTTAATTTATTTTATTTTATTTTATAATACTGTACTCATGTCCAGTTTAATTTCTTGTGTAAAAGCAGCCGGCAGTAAAGATCAAATCAGATTCAGATTAATACAACTACACAGTAAAACTCGGTCTAAATGAGAACAAATATTAAAATAAAAGCGGTGGAAAATATCAGGTTTAATTTAAGAAAAATGAGAATCTTTAAATGTTCATAAAAATAAAATAAAAGTGTGAAAAAGGACTAAAGAGAGTGTGAAAGTGTCATCGGTTTCTTTGAGATCGTCATCCTGCAGTTGCATATTGTCACCAGATGATGGCAGCAACGACCCAAAATATCCCGATCTACAGCGGCCGCGGAGTCATCGCGCTCGCTTAGCTGTTCGATTTTAATAAATCACGGCGATGGAAAATAGTTTTGTAAAGAAACGGAATAAATGATTATTGACAACCGAAAATATATCGAATAAAAAAATTAAATATACTTCAAATAATATAAATGCCTTCATCCGGGTTTGTTGTTCTTAAGCCTTACAGTAAAGACGTCATCATCAGTTAATCATTGATTAGCTTAACTACATGCTACATTAGCAGCCGCAGCTAAAATAACATTTGTAAAAAACAAAATAAACACAGAAATAAAATCCACGGAAACCACAAACATATTATATAATATTTACAGTAGTTTTCATAACAATAAGACACAACGATATAAATATGTTTCATTATTTTTCTATAACATCGTTAGTATTTCCGGTTTATTAACGGTTGACGGTTTCCTTTTGTAACAAACATTATCGGTAAATTAAAATGGTAGAAATGAAAAATAAATACGACTTAAACTAATCCAGTTAATGTCTGTATATTTAAACACATTTTTTTTTTAAAAAATCACCTTCATGTAATAATTTTAGTTTAAATGTCAGTTTTTTCATATTCTATAAATTCTACATTTTAATGTTATATTTTTTAGACGGTGGCTGCAGGTGTGTCGTGTTCCCAAATTTAAGAAATGTACAGAAACAAAACAAAACACAAAAAATCCAAAATATTTTAAATAAAGATAAAAAATGTGAAGATACTGAAGAAACAGAAAACAAACCTGAAAACCAGGAGGACGAGGTTCAAAAAGATCAACAACAACAACAACCACAGGGTAGAAACAGGACGGAGGGGCTTCTGTCTGGGGCAGTTGTTTCAGGGTTTAATTTGAATTATTTTATTTACTGATGTTATTTTATTGTGTTTTAATTTTAATGTTATTTGTTAAAACCGTAGTCGTTTAAATCAGCGGTCACATGACCGACGGTGTCGCTGCCGGAAAAAATAAAATAAAATAAATACAGGAAAAAAAAATTAATAAGAAATATAGTTTCAAATAATGAAATATATCAGTAAATATATGAGATATTACCAGGTTAAAAAACCATGTCGTCACATGACATCTGGACTGGTTTTCATCTTTTTTTTTTTAATGCCACACACACACACACACACACACACACACACACACACACATATCTAACTCCACCTGCCCCATAAAACCATTTCATCAGCCCCTCCCCTCTGGAAAAAAACCTCCACATTTCTCCCTCAACTGCCCCGAACCCCTCTGGCCATGGGCCCTCTTAGCCCCCTCCCCCCATCACACACACACACACACACACACACACACACACACAAACCCCACCTTCTCCTCTCCTGCATCAACAAATCAAACGCACCAAATGTCACAAACGTCCAGAGAACGGTGTGCGTCCCTCGGATTGAATCACATCTTTGATTCTCACCTGGTTTTCACACACACACACACACACGTCCAGTTTTTCCCGTTTATTTTTAACCTCTCTCTCTCTCTCTCTCCCTCTCTCTCTCTGGGGCGTCTCTCGCCCGGTGACACTGACCACCGCCGTCCTGTCCTGACTCACTCTTCTGCCCTGAGGGGACGAGACGGGGGAGGGTGACAGGGGCAGTTGGACAACAGCAGCTTGAATGTTACAGACTCTCCCCCCTCCCTCCCCCCCCCGGCTCATCCTTTAATGGACAGACACAGAGAGGACAGAGGACAGTTGGTGTGTCTGTCCTCTGGGTTGGACACGCTGGCCATTAGAAGAGAGAGAGAGGGGACGAGGGAGGGAGGGGGACAGTGGGGGGTCACAGAATGGCTGGAGGGTCCTAAACTCACCCCTACACCTCCCTCCTTTACTGCCCCCCCCCCCCCCCCCCCC